CCCAATGGGAGCAGATGACACAAAAAGCAGGCCTGGGGTGATAGGGTTCTGCATACAGTGGAGGGAGGACTGGGTGGGCCTCAACAGTGGTTGGGCACTCCCTCCCCTTCCATTTAACTATGACAGCTGCTTGTGGGGTCTTCCCTCGGTAGTGTCGACGTATACTGAGTATACGTGGATTAAAGTTACGAGCATCTTCGACTTCAGCGTATAGGGGGAACTGTTTAACTAGGATGTGGCAACATTTTGCTGTGTCAGCAGGTGGAGGCACGAGGACAACCCCGTCAAATCCTACAGTACTAAGTGTTTCATAAACCTCAGGTGTCTGACACTTGATAAAGTTACGGTTCTTACCTTTTCGGAATTAAATGGTGAGACCATGTTGTCTCCAATACTTTGTTGTCCAATTAAACCGTTCCTCGACGGTTTTCAATGAGTCGTTGAGGAAGTGCAGATTCAGCTTACTTGGCTGGTTGGCAGAGGAGTGGGTGGCGAGGGGAAGCTATCACTGAGGTCACTATCACTGAGGTCTGACTCTTGCAGGGTGTGGGATGCAGTATGACTATCCGTATCAGAAATGACTCTGTATCCATGAGAGAGGGGACGCCTCTTCTGGGGCGTTTGCATCGACCCCGCCCCTTCCCCCATCGCTGGCAACACTTGCCGGCGAAGGGGTAGGTAGAGACTGAGGTGGTCTTTGTGTGACGATCGAGAGGACAGGAGCACCTATGGGCACACGTCTGTCCCCTTACATGGCCAGACCGCGACTGTGTTGTTTATGGTGCACCTTGGTCACTGGTCAGGGTTGCAGGGTCAAAAGTTCTCTGGGTCTTGTGGCGAGTTTTGTTGATCTGTAGGAGGGGGGGCGCTGGTGGTAGAGCGGCACTGCTCTTGCCTCCCAAGCAAGATGTCACGGGTTCGATTCCCAGGCCGGCGGAAGTTGTTTGGACACTCTTCCTAGTCCCCTTGGTTCCTGTTCACCTAGCAGCAAAGTAGGTACCTGCTGTAAATCGAAAGTTGCGAATTCGTATTCAGGGACAAGTTGTTGGGACTTCCAATTACTTGATGACATAAACCATTGACTCTTCAGGCTTCTACGCCCTTGACTCATGAGACACAAGGCAAGCATGAACTTAGCATGTTTCCCTGTTGGGCTCTGTAAACGCTTCTGCGCTTCACCTTACACAAGGATGTAGGGGGGGATGCCTAATAAAAAATAAATAAATAAATAAAATAAATAATCTGCAGGAGGAGGTGGTGGTGGGGGAATCGGGGCATCACTAACGGGGAGAGAAGGTAACACGACACCTTCAGTTCCTCTCCACGAACACTCTTTAATCTCCTACCTCCACTCTTCCATTCTCACTCCACTCCACCTCCACCACTCCACCCCCCCTCCACCACTCCAGTCAACAAGTGAACACGGAACGGAAGGAAATTTATATCAGTCGTCTAAGTGTGAGAGTTGGTGCTGGTGTACACATACCACGGTGAGGGGGGTGAGGTGAGGGAGAGAGTGAGGACGGAGGGAGGTGAGGGAGAGAGTGAGGACGGAGGGAGGTGAGGGAGAGAGTGAAGACTGAGGGAGGTGAGGGAGAGAGTGAGGACGGAGGGAGGTGAGGGAGAGAGTGAGGAGGAGGAGGGAGGTGAGGGAGAGAGTGAGGACGGAGGGAGGTGAGGGAGAGAGTGAGGAGGAGGAGGGAGGTGAGGGAGAGAGTGAGGACGGAAGGAGGTGAGGGAGAGAGTGAGGAGGAGGAGGGAGGTGAGGGAGAGAGTGAGGAGGCTGAGGGAGGTCATCTTTTTGTGTTGTTATGGTTGACTGTGTGTGTAATAATAATAATAATAATAATAATAATAATAATTAACGGTTTATTGAAAAAGTTCTGCAGCCCGAAGGCTGAAAATATACATAAGACATAAATGACTTATTACATACATTGGTGGTTTAACAAAAGCCTTCATTAGAGAAAGGTAAAGGAACATACAGTGAACATACAGATTAATGTAGGTGTTGAACAGCAAACACGTAGTGTAGTAACTCCCTCTCAGATGGTGTTAGGAAGGACCTCACGTGGTGTAGTAGTTCCCTCACAGATGGTGTTAGGAGGGACCTCACGTGGTGTAGTAGTTCCCTCACAGATGGTGTTAGGAGGGACCTCACGTGGTGTAGTAGTTCCCTCACAGATGGTGTTAGGGGGGACCTCACGTGGTGTAGTAGTTCCCTCACAGATGGTGCTATGAGGGACCTGGTGTGGTGTAGTAGTTCCCTCACAGATGGTGCTATGAGGGACCTGGCGTGGTGTAGTAGTTCCCCACAGATGGTGTTATGAGGCCTCACGTGGTGTGGGCCAGTTCTCACAGATGGTGTTAGGAGGACCTCAATGGTAGTGCAGTTCCCTCACAGATGGTGTTAGAAGGGACCTCACGTGGTGTAGTAGTTCCCTCACAGATGGTGTTAGGAGGGACCTCACGTGGTGTAGTAGTTCCCTCACAGATGGTGTTAGGAGGGACCTCGTGGTGTGTAGTTCCTCACAGATGGTGTTAGGAGGGACCTCACGTGATGTAATAGTTCCCTCACAGATGGTGTTAGGAGGGACCTCACGTGGTGTAGTAGTTCCCTCACAGATGGTGTTAGGGAGGGACCTGACGTGGTGTAGTAGTTCCTCACAGATGGTGTTAGGAGGGACCTCACGTGATGTAATAGTTCCCTCACAGATGGTGTTAGGAGGGACCTCACGTGTGTAGTAGTTCCTCACAGATGGTGTTAGGAGGGACCTGACGTGTGTGTAGTTCCCTCACAGATGGTGTTAGGAGGGACCTGACGTGGTGTAGTAGTTCCTCACAGATGGTGTTGGAGGGACCCACGTGGTGTTCCCCAGATGGTGTTAGGAGGACCTCGTGGTGTGTGGTTCCTCACAGATGGTGTTAGGAGGGACCCGGTGGTTCCTGATGGTGTAAGGGACCTCCGTGGTGTAGTAGTTCCCTCACAGATGGTGTTAGGAGGGACCTCGTGGTGTAGTAGTTCCCTCACAGATGTGTTGGGAGGGACCTCACGTGGTGTGAGTCCCTCACAATGGTGTTGGAGGGACCCACATGGTGTAGTAGTTCCCCACAGATGGTTAGGAGGGACCTCACGTGTAGTAGTTCCCTCAATGGTGTAGAGGGCCTCCGTGGTGTAGTTCCCCACAAAGTGTTAGGAGGACCTCACGTGTAGTAGTTCCTCACAGATGGTGTTAGGAGACCTCACGTGGTGTAATAGTTCCCCACAGATGGTGTTATGAGGACCTCGTGGTGTAGTAGTTCCCTCAAGATGGTGTTGGAGGACCTCACGTGGTGTAGTAGTTCTCACAGATGGTGTAGGAGGGACCTCCGTGGTGTAGTAGTTCCCTCACAGATGGTGTTATGAGGGGCCTCACGTGGTGTAGTAGTTCCTCACAGATGGTGTTAGGAGGGACCACGTGGTGTAGTAGTTCCTCACAGATGGTGTTAGGAGGGACCTCGTGGTGTAGTAGTTCCTCACAGATGGTGGGAGGGACCTCATGGTGTAGTAGTTCCTCACAGATGGTTAGGAGGACCTCACGTGTTAGTAGTTCTCACAGATGGTGTTGGGAGGACCTCACGTGTGTGTTCCCTCACAGATGGTGTTATGAGGGGCCTCACGTAGTGTAGTAACTCCCTCTCAGATGGTGTTAGGAAGGACCTCACGTGGTGTAGTAGTTCCCTCACAGATGGTGTTAGGAGGGACCTCACGTGGTGTAGTAGTTCCCTCACAGATGGTGTTAGGAGGGACCTCACGTGGTGTAGTAGTTCCCTCACAGATGGTGTTAGGAGGGACTGGTGTGTAGTAGTTCCCTCACAGATGGTGTTATGAGGGCCTTCGTGGTGTAGTAGTTCCCTCACAGATGGTGTTATGAGGGACCTCACGTGGTGTAGTAGTTCCTCACAGATGGTGTTATGAGGCCTCACGTGGTGTAATAGTTCCTCACAGATGGTGTTAGAGGGACTCTCAATGGTGTAAGTAGTTCCCTCACAGATGGTGTTAGAAGGGACCTCACGTGGTGTAGTAGTTCCCTCACAGATGGTGTTAGGAGGGACCTCACGTGGTGTAGTAGTTCCCTCACAGATGGTGTGTGAGAGAGTGTGTTAAATAGGTGTAAAGTGTTTTCAGACTTACAGTACACACAAGTCCGAGTATCAGTGTGTACTATAATATGTAACACTCAAACCAGGTCACACTCACACCAGGTCACACACACTCTAGGTCACACTCACACCAGGTCACACACACACACACACACACACACACACACACACACACCAGGTCACACACACACCAGGTCACACTCACACCAGGTCACACACACACACCAGGTCACACTCACACCAGGTCACTCAACACACTATATACTGTGTGGTGACGGGGCGTGTAATGACCAGTTTACCTTTACCTTGGTGAGTTACCCAAGGCATTGTTGTAGCGTCACTCCTCCACCACCAGTGTTGAGTGACGGGAGTGACCGCCTTTAAAAGATTGTGTGTAGGTAGCGGGGAGGGGGGGGGAGGGGTAGTCATTACATATCACCTGAATATTAGCGGGACCCTGTAACACCCCCCCCCCCAAGCTTATTTCATCTGTTTAAGTTGTGTAACATAATCTTATTCCTAACCACCTCACCTAACCTAATCTTATTACTAACCTCACCTAACCTAACCTAACCTTTTCTACCTAAGGTTAATTCAGTGTTACTTTAGGTTAGGGTGGGTGCGTGCGTGCGTGTGTGTTTGTGTGCGCGTTCATGCGTGCGGGTAGTAATTGTGTATGTGTACTGTGCGTGGCTGTGTACGAAAGTTGTGTGTGTATGCACTGTGTGGATTGTACAGTATATGGGAATATGAGCGTGTGTATGTTTGTGTACAGTGCGTGTAGTGTGTTAAGGTGCGTGAGAGTGTGGAGGGGCGGGGCGGGAGGGAGCAGCAGCAGGGTGTGTGTGGGTTGTCTGGGAGGCCAGGCCAGCCAGCAGTCAGTGAGTGAGTGGTGTGTGAGCGAGGCGGACACGGCCTGGCAGTCTACCTCTACACCAACAACACGCGGGAGGACCTATACACCATCCATCCCATCCCGTCCCCATCCCACACCCCCTCCCGTCCACGGTCTCTCTCCCAAACAAGAGATAACACACCGCTGCCTCTCTGACTCACCCGATAAAAGGTAGTGGTGGTGCTTCGGGTTACTATTTTCAGCATGGATAGTGAGTCCATGTGTTCGATACTCCCCCGGCCACATTGATTTTACAGGCCCAAGCAGAGGGAGAGAGAGAGAGCGTCGGTGTTACGCCTACTAGCACGTACTTACAGCAGCTGAGGCGGTGTTGGTGCTTGGTAGTGAAGTGATCAGTGTTGTGCATCACCCTCCCCCCACACGACAAGTTGAGGTGTAAAAAGTGTACAAATTAAGTGGTTGAATGAGAGAATAAGTGGCAGCATCATCAGGCAAGGTGTACACGTGAGGGTCAGTGAGTGTTGTTGTGTTCGTGTCATTCATCTCGTGAAGGAAGCTGGACACTGGTGAGACATCCAGCGTGGGGTGGGCGTGAGGCGTGAGGGCGTGGGCGTGGTAGTGTGAAGGTAGTCACGGTGGAGACGTGTTGCGGAAATCCAGAGCAGGCGAGGAGCGTGGCTGTTGGGGTGAGGACTCGAGTGTTGGCCATGAACGGTGAGGCTGGCGGGGCCGGGGAAGGAGGGGGACGGGTGGTGACGTCACAGCCTGGGGGGGTCGGGGGGTCCAGCTCCTTCCTCAGGACGGGCTCCACGCCCCCTTCATACTCCAGCTCACCGCGCCTCCGACGACTCGACGACATGAAAAAGTCGTACATGGGCGGCGGAGGCACCACCTCCTCCACCATCAACCAGCCCTCAGCTGGGTACAACTCCACCTTCACCTCCAAGTATTCCTCCAGCTCGGGCAACACCTACCGTCTGGCGTCCCTCGACCGCCTGGCGCAGAGACACAAACTTTACGACACTGCCAGCGTCCCCAACGAGGCCACCGCTAACGCCACCACCAACGCCACCACCAACAGTAACGGCGGCAGCCACGCCCCCAGCAGCGGGCCCAGGGAGGCGCGGGACACGCCCAGGGAGGCCCCCGCGCCCCCAACCCCGGCCACCGCCCCCAACCCCAACCCCCCAGTAGTGGTAAGTCTGATGAACACAGCTTCCCTTTACCTCTACCTCCTACCTCTCCTCTCCTCCTCTCTCTGGTTCTGTGTAATTTAAGTCATGACAGTTGTGTTGTGATGCTAGGAACCTGGGTTAGTATTGTGCCGGTACCTGGGGTTAGTATTGTGCCGGTACCTGGGGTTAGTATTGTGCCGGTACCTGGGGGTAGTATTGTGCCGGTACCTGGTGGTAGTGTAGGTACTGTTGGCAGGAGGCAACATATGGTCGTGTCGGGGCAGACTATAGCGGCACCATATGAATTAATTTTTTGTCTAATTAATTATTTCGATGGGAGGATGGGTTGGGGGGGGGTGGTAGGGGTGGGTGACTCAGCAGTTAGTGGGGGTCGAAAAACAGAGGGGGTTGTGGGGAGGGGAGGCGAGGCACCAGCCATTCAACTTCAAGCTGCCTGTCTGTTGAACAAGATGGGAGGGGCTGTGATTTTCTTCTGGATGGTCAGAAGGGGGTCTAAGGGAGGAGGGGGAGGGGGGTGTCTTGGAGAGGGGTAAGATTTTGTTGGGTGGGTATGGGGCGGAGGTGTGAGGGAGGCTTGTGAGTGTGGGAGGTTAGTATGTGTGTGTGTGTCATTAACAAGAGAGGGGAGGGTGTGAGGCAGGACTGGGTGGTGGTGACGTGAGTGTGTGGGGGTAAAGGAGTGTGGTGGTGTTGAGTAATGGTACAGACAGCGAATTCTTTACGTAATAACAATTAAGAGATAGTTCACTTATTGTTTATAATTATTGTAGTTATTATTATCAATGTTCCTGTAGTAGTATTTTTATTATTATTATTATTATCGTTGTTTTACTACTATTATTATTGCATTATTATTATTATTAGGAGTATATTATTACACACGTGGTAACAAAAGAATTATTTATTGTGAAGGTATACGTATTATTATAAATTCACACTTAGTTATATGACTCTGATGCTGAATAACAACAGGAAATTAACACGATTATTGTCAGAAACCACACACACACACACACACACACACACACACACACGGGGGGACGTGGTCTTGCATTTCCTGCGTGCTGGCTGGATCCTGATAAGTGTCGTGTCGGGGAAATGCCAAGTTTGGTAATGATGGAGAGAGAGAGAGAGAGAGAGAGAGAGAGAGAGAGAGAATTAAGGTGTGTGTGTGTGAGGGAGAGGTGTGAGGGAGAGTGAGAGGTGGTGGTGGGTGGTTGGCGTGGACCTTCTGTATATAAGTGCGGCGGCTCTGCAACCTAACTACCGGACGTGGCGAATTCTCCCTCCCTCCTCCTCACCCAGTCTTGTTCGTCTCAAATTCATCCTCCTCCTCCTTACTCTTCTTTCTTCTACTCTCCCCTCATCTCCCCTATCCCCTCTCCTCTGCCCCCCCCCTCTCTGTAAAAGGATTCTACCCACTACACCCCACACCCCTTCTATCCCTCCCCAGAACACAATCACTTACCTATCCTCCTCCTCACTCCCCACCTTCGTGTTGGACACTTGCTTGCCTGGCCGTGACAAATTCCCCCCTCCCCCCTCCTCCTCCACCCCTCCACCACCTTTGTCTCTCCTCACCTTGCAGAACGTCTATTTCCCCCCTTCTTTGGGTTCTCCCTCTTCATCCGGTTAGTAGAATCCCCCCTCTTCCCCCCTCCCCCTCTCGCCCCCCCCCTCTGCCCCTGGACGTGGGTGTTCCCCACTTCTTCATGTCCCTCCTGTGGCAGATACACCCCCCTCTCACCTCCCTCTGCCCCTCCCCACCCTCTCCCCTCCTCCTGCCCCCCCCTCCCCCCCTCTACCTGGACATGGAGTCATTCCCCCACACTTCCTCTTCATGTCCCACTCTGTAGCCCCGAATATCACATCCCCCCTCTCACCTCCTCTGCCCCCTCCCCCCCTCTGCCTGGACATGGGTCATTCCCCCCACACTTCTCTTCATGTCCCTCCTGTAGCTGAATATTACACCCCCCTCTCACCTCCCTGCCCCCCCCTCCACACACTACCTCCCTCTGCCCCCTCCCTCCCCCTCTCACCTCCTCTGCCCCCTCCCCTCCCCCTCTCCCCCTCCTCTGCCCCCTCCCCCTCCCCCCCCCTCCTGCACCTCCTCTGCCCCCTCCCCCCCCTCTACCTGGACATAGGTCATTCCCCACACTTCCTCTTCATGTCCTCCTGTGGCAGATGTTACACCCCCACCCTCTCACCTCCTCTCCCTCAAGGCAGGTACCTCCTTCCTCTCTCCCTCCCTGAGTCGTGGAGGTCTCCCTGGTGTCTGGCCCCTGTAGGCAGGGGCAGGGAGGCTGTGGGCTCATGTTACACGGAAGGTTCCTCTGATGGGAGACGTCAGCCCTCACCTCTCTCTGCTTCCTGTGTCACCCCCCCCCTTGTGTCTGCCCCCCCTTGTGTCACCCCCCCTTGTGTCACCCCTGCTGTGTCACCCCCCCTTGTGTCACCCCAGCTGTCACCCCCCTTATGTCACCCAGCTTCTGTGTCACCCCTTCCTCCATGTCACCGTCCCCCTGTCACCCTCCTAACTCACTGTGTCACCGTACATGTCTCAGGGTTGTCACTGGCTCACCCCCTCTTGCCTGCATTAAACTATCACCTTCTGTTCTGATAAAACTAAATGGAGCACCAGTTAGGGAATACGTGGACCTTAGCCCCCCCCAGGTTATTTCACATGAAGATTAACCTCACTTAACCTAATATAACCTAACTTAACCACAAGAACTGGGGCCCACCACGACAGATTAGGTTAGGTTGGGTTGGATTAGGGCCTGTTAGGACGTGGGGTCACATAACTAATAGATATAAGTTGTCTGGTGTGTTACAAGAACGTGTTTATATACAGAGAACCAGCTAGATAATGCGTGTGTTAATTAGTGATGTTCTAGGTACAGGTGTGTGTGTGTGTGTGTGTGTGTGTGTGTGTGTGTGTGTATGGCGCCAGGCTGGACTACACACACACACACACCGGAAGATTGTATCATTGCAAAAAAAAACAGATATATTAGTCTAATCTTTACACTCAAGGACCAGTTATGTTTTATTTGTTTAATGAAGCCACACGCTACCACCATCTAACCTAACCTAACCGTATGTGGAGAGAGAGAGAGAGAGAGAGAGAGAGAGAGAGAGAGAGACGTCATATCGATCGAGTGTGTTAAGTTATACCTCAGTAAGCGGCAGAGTTAAGTGGCTCAGATAAATGTGGTTAAGTTAATGGAGAGACGGGATAAAGGTGGTCAGGTACGCTAGGTTAATGACCCACCTGGTGTGTTAGATTGATCTTAACAGGGCCATTGGAGGGAAGGAAATTTGAGTTTAGTTGTAAAATGTTAGTTTAAGACGTCACTGTTATTAACTTAAGACAATTAACACTGAAGAGGAGATAACCCGAGTGATTATCATGTTAACTGAGATATTTAACTTATGGTAGTGTAGACGTTAATGTAGTGGTGCAGTGTTACAGGTAGAGAGAGACAGGAGGGAAGGAGGTAGAGAAAGGAAGGGGAAGGAAATAGAGAAGTAAAGAAAGAACACGAGCGAAGGAGGTCATCTGCCCTACACATGGTCAGGGTCAGTGTTGAGGAGCACAACAGTGGCCATTTAGGACTTTACCCTTGGTGGTGGTGATGGTAGTAGTGGCAGGAGGTGGTGGTGGTAGTAGTGGCAGTGGTGGTGGTGGTGGTGGTGGTGGTGGTGGTGGTGGGAGGTGGGGGAGGTGGTGGTGGTGGTGATGGTGGTAGTAGTGGCAGGTGGTGATGGTAGTGGAGGGTGTTGTAGTGATGGTGGTAGGGTAGGGTACTAAAGAGAGAGAGAGAGAGAGAGTGTGTGTGTGTGTGTGTGTGTGTATCAGGTGAGCCTGTGACCTCAGGCACGTCCGTCCAGGAGTCAGCTTCCATCCTTGCCCCTCCACCACCCTGCCCCCCCAATATAGGAATATGGCCACTAACGCCTCACCCCCTAGTTTGGCCACATCCTCCCCGCCCCTCCTGCGGGATCCCACCTATGTGCCCCAGTACCCAGCCCTGCCCCTCTGTTTTTTGTGTGTAGAGAAAGGAGGGGCAAAAGAAGATTAGAGGTGGGGGAAGGAAGTTATAGTTCGGAAGTTGAAGAAATTTAGGAGGTAAGAGGGGGCGGGCTGACCGCCTAGCTAAGCTAATAGTGTGTTAGGGTTGTGTCATGGGTTAGTTATTGTCTGTCAGTACAGGCACTAGACATTCTACCCTGTCCCATATATGGGTGTTTTAAGGACCTTATTTCATATTCCGCCGACCCTACTGGCGGATGCTGGTCTAGGGAGGTTGTCTATTGCCTGGCCGTGTAGATCAGGGGTGGTAACGGACCTTTTGAGATTTGGTAACTTTTTGGGAACCATGTATGGTTGTTGTCGTTATCTGGCGGGAGTCTTTGAAGGAGTTCTTGCTCTGATCGTTCTATCTTTTGCCAGACTCTGCTGGCCAGGTGCAGCTGCTGGTTGATGGGTTTCATTCTCAGGTCTCTATGTATCTCGGCTGTGGTTCTGGTGAAGGGGTATCTTTCACCAGTGACGAATTTTAGGGCTTCATTTTGGACCACCTGTAATTTTAATATTTGAGTGGTGCTCATAGTATGAAGAGGTACTGCTGGGTAAGTTAATATAGGTGTGATAAATGATGTCACCAGGCGGAGTTTTATTTTCTCAGGAAGCGCTTCAAAGCGGTATAGTTTTCTCAGCTCTCATCTTGCCTTTTCCTTCCTGGTGTGGACATGATGGGAGTAACCTGTCGCGGATATATGCAGGCCCAGGAGGGTGCCTCTGCTTTTATATTCTACCTGGGCATTATTAGTTACTAATGGATGGGTTTTCCTTTTGCATAAGGGTATCACTGTGAATTTCGGGAGACTGGTTTGGATTTTCCATTGTTTTTCGTAATTATCTGCCCTTTCTAATTCCCGCCTGGTGTTCTCGACCTGTAACGCTCGCGATTTTCCTTGATGTGTTGTTGTTT